TTTTCCTTTCTGATATTGAACTTGCGCTTTTGCAGTATTTGATGACATTTCTATGGTAGGAACTAGTATTTATGTTTCTCCTTAAAACTTCATTTCTCCTGTTTCTATTTCCATCATTATGAGAAATGATGCCAAATTCATTTCTTGTTAAAATGAATGACAGTGTACTTCCTTGAGAAAATAGAGAGGAAAGATGTCAAATTCTTTGAGGCTTTTTGAATTGGCTCACTTAATTATTCCAGGTTTATGTATAATTTGTATTATGTATATAATTTGTACTATGTTTATGTATAGTTGTGCATTATGTATAATAATATCCTTTATGATAGAACTAAAGTCAACCAATGAATGTGATGCTCAATTTTAATTGCCAATTTAATTGGATCTGGAACCAAATAAAGAGACATTGGAGGGCAGATTTTGAGGGGATGTCAAAGGGGAGTTAATTGAGGACAGAAGACCCTCCCTAATTGTGGGCAGGTAATACCTTTCCACAGAAATCAAGAAATAAAGGGGTCCAAGAAAGAGGTGGTGCTCTCTGCTGGATGCTTTGTGCATGTGCTCTGTCATTGTTGCTATTGCTTCCAACACTGGCAACCAACAGAACCCAAGTTCTTCAGCCTTCTAATGTAGCGAAAAGACGAGCAGCTCTCCAGGAATCCTCCAAGCTCTCAGTGCCAGTTTGGGATGGTGGGGATATCCAGTTTCATGTACTGAACAGTCTCTCCAGCTCTGTTCAACTACCTACCCCACATCATTTAAATCAATCTAGTAAATTCCCTTTGTAATGCACATCCTTTCTCTCCGCTCTGTTCCTCTACACAGCTCTGACTAAGACACTGGCCATCTCACAGAAGTACTGTCCCATTTTATTCACAGGTCTGCCTCATGCAAATGGAGAGAAAATATTAATGTGGATCATTTTGAGTGTCATCTTGACATGAAGGGTGGCACTGTGCCTAAAGAAAAGCTGTTTTTTTCCATGATACCTCTTTCAAAAGATATCACCTCATAGAACACTCCAGGATGCTGAGAATCCCAGAGGTTTCCAGGTTTTACTCCAACATCTTGTTACAACAAATTTATCTGGGCTGCTGAAGAAACATCAGGAATCCAACCTCTTTTTTAGTCTGGATATATCTGGCCATTGTCTTTCTGTGAGACCTGCAGAACATCCTCCTGGCTGATAAGCAAGAAGAAGGTTACCCAAAGACAGAGCAGTAGTAAACAGAATGAAGTAGACTGTGGAAAAAGTATGCCAGTTACACAATTGCATGTTTTGATGGCTCTTGAGCAAAGTGGCAAGTAGGTCACAGTTGCTCACTAACCTTATTACCCCTAGATCCAGGGACTGACCTGACTCACAACCAATAATAAAATAATACTATAATAAGACCGTTGGGTGTTCTTGTCTGTCTTTTGTTTCTTTTTGCCTTTTGGGGATGTTTCATAGCAAGTCTCTAACTAGCAAAGAAAGAATTAGTCAATCATATTCTAATAGTGACCTAGATTTTTGAGCTTCTCAGAAATCATTAAATATTTTATAAGTTCATCGATCAAAGTAGCATACTCCTTATTTACCTGTATATCTCAGTATTTGAACCCACAATTCCTGTGTTCTAGAGTAGTTACAGAACTGAGAAACACTGCTCCTACTAAAGCCCTGTTTAACTCCATGAGAACAGTGGCCTTAAGTCATGTGATGTCTTCCTTATTCCATCTCTTCCACAACCCATGACACATGAGTTTGGGAAGAAGAGAGTTTTTGCTTAGCTTTTTTAAAATTGATTTTATTTAAATTTTAAAAATCTTATTTTATATACCAATCTCAGTTTCCTCTCCCTCCAGTCCTCCAATTCTCCCCAACATCCCCCATTCCACCCCTCATCCACTCTTCAGGGAGGGTGAGGCCTCCCATTGGCGATCATCAAAATCTGTCACTTCGTTTGGGGCAGGGTACAGGCACTCCCCGCGCCAGAAAAAGAGAGCAAGATTTCCGTTGTTCGGTCTTTTATACCTTCCTCCATAACGCCCCGAGCCATGCCCAAAAGTGGGCCTGGCTAGTGATGTAGTTCACCGCCTACGTCCATATACGTCTTTAGTCATGCTAAAGTGGGTGTGTTTAGCAGTGTGGTAAACCACCCTTTTATTACCTCATCTGTATGCGCCTCTAATAAGTCTGTTTTCCTCCTACACTCCCCCATGTATCTAGGCTGAGAGAATATCCCTCCATAGGGAATGGGATCCCGAAGCCCATTCGTGCACCAGAAATAAATACTGGTTCCACTGCCAGAGGCCCCACAGACTACTCATGTCCCCCTACTGACACCCATGTTCAGGGACATGGTTCAGTCCTATGCTGGTTCCTCAGCTATCAGTCTGGAGTTTGTGAGCTCCCACTTGCTCAGGTCAGCTGTTTCTGTGGGTTTCCCCAGCACGGTCTTTACCCCTTTGCTTATCACTCCTCCCTCTCTACAGCTGGATTCCAGAAGCTTGGATCAGTGCTTAGCTGTGAATCTCTGCTTCTATTTCCATCAGCTACTGGATTAAGGATGGCATTCATGGTAGTCATCAATCTCATTATCAGGCATTTAAGGTAGCCTCTCCCCTATTGCTTAGATTCTTTATTGGGGTCATTCTTGTGGGTTCTTGGAGATTTCCCTAGTGCCAGGAACTTTGCTTAGCTTTATGATAATTGTACATTGTAGGTCAGCATAGTATGTGCAGAACTTCATGGACACTGAGGACCACTGGAGATGGTGCTGTCATCAGCAGAAGCAAACTGACTTGGAAGAACATCTTTGTCATTTTCACTGCATCTTGGTTTACCCAATTCATAGGCACCTAATAGACATGCAAGCTTAATGCAAACTGAGACTCAGCAATAGATATCAGCTTCTCTGATGTTCTCAGCAGGTTAGGCTCTGCCACTGAATACAGGTCCTAGATCTAGGACAATAAGAGAGATGCAAGATTAAGTCTGGTGATGAAAGTGTCAGTGCTGGTTTGATGATATTTTACTCTCCCAGCACTGGCTCTTAGTGATTTTCCTGAAGTTTCTGGAAGTCTATGAAAAAGAAAGTGTAGGCACATCCACACGTCCACAGTCTGCATGCATCACTTCCTGTGCAGCAGTCAACACTGAAGGAAGCAGGGCTGGGGACAGTCAGAACTTCATGACTAAGAACCAAGGATCAGACTGAGAGGACCCTGAGTTAAAGATCTTGGTGTTCCTGAGAGCCCTTCTGGGAGTGACGGGAGGCATACAGGCGCAGGTAGGCAACCCTGAAGAGGCCTTCCCCTGTGCAGCACTCTACACTGGACTTCATGATGGGAAATTTCTGATACTTGTGAAAGCGATGGAGACCCTGGGCACTTCATAACTAAGTGGGGAAAGGGAAGAGGCCTCTGGATGACCTCTGTCCCTGCTGTCTCTAGCTGCACGATCTTGGTGGTCACTGAACTAAGGCCATGTGATCCACCGGAGCAGAACTCTTATACTGCAAAGGTTCTCAGGTCATTCACTGACTGGGCAGTCTAAGGAGGAAAGAGAGGCTAGCTGATCTCAGAAGTCGATTCCACTTGGTTCTTCCAACTAACAAGGATACAGTTCTAACCTTGAAACTCAGGTTATGGCTCCGGAGCTTCTCACACTAGAGCATTCAGCTGCTTCTCCATGCTGAAGAGAGTCAGACACAGGCTATGATTGGCAGGGCAGAAATGTGGGGAGAAACCAGAGTCAGAGACAGTTAGGGGCCAGCACCCAACTGTGTGTAGGCAAATGATTAACAATCATATAATAATAACATTATTAATATAATATTAATTTGTTCATAATAAATAATAATAGATAGTATAATAAGAATACTAAATATTTATCTAACATTGATTTTTATGTCACTGAATCAAGTGTGAATTACTTCAACATGTACATCAAACTTTTGACTCTGGATTTTCTTACTGGTTATGATTTTATTAATTAACATAAAGGATTGTTTCACATATTAAAAACACTGCAAGATCACTTCTACTAAAATATGATAAAATATGAAGTGTTAAGTCTAAAAATAATACTGTTAGACACACAAAATAGACAAGAGAGGTTAAGCACTTTGGTATGTAGCATTAATTGAAAAACATTGAAGGTTAAATTTTAATAGTTCATGACTAACAGACTAATGTGAGCATGAAAATCATCAAGTAAAGAAAATACACTATACTTTCTACAAACCACATGTTATTTTCTTGTATATATTAAACTTTTACCCCTGAAATTCATACTCTGATTATGACTTTAGTGACAAAGAGAACTACTGTGAGGGCCCTAAAATAGGATAAAATATGTTGGGAGAATGCTAACTATATTACTATTAGACAAAGAATAAACAAATAGCTTTCAGAAGTTTGAGTAGTATGTAACATGAAATGGAGAAAACTAAAGATCAAATCTTAATCATACCTCAAGGCTGGTAGACTATCTTAAAGATAAAACTCAGAAAAACAAGGGGCTAGCAGCATGGAAGTGAAGAATGCTGTATTTGGGAAGTCTTTTTGTTGCAGTTGCTTCTGTTTACCCATGTGTATGCATGCACATGTATATGTGTCAAGGCAAACATGCAGGTCAGGGACAGCTTGCGATGATTCTTTCTGAGATAAACTCAGGTTTCAGGTTTGGAGTCAAGTGATTTACCTGCTGAGCCATTTTGACAGCTCTATTCTGCATGTTTTGTATAAAATATTTGGCTGTGCACACAAACTTCCGGGGGTTGTTGCTGTCTCTTTATGTATATGCTTATTGACAGGCTGTGTCAAATACAACTATTCTTCCTGAATCCAAGGTTTTGGGCTTTTCATTTCCCTATTGTTTGTATTTCTTCCCCTGGAGAAAAAGTCAAGACTGCAGTACAGTACAAACACTCACCTATAGATTTGAGAGTGGGAAGCTGAGTTCATAGCTCTTTATAAGAGACAAATCCATTTTCTTTTCCAGCCGTGGGAGCTCCATCATGATCCCACAAGTAGTGACCAATGAGACTGTCACAGTGATTTCAACAAATGGAATAAACTTTCCCCAAACAGACAAATCCCAGCCTACCCACCAAAAGCAAGACAGACTGAAAAAACATCTGAGAGCAGGGGTCAAAGTGATGGCGGTAAATTCAATTCAGAACTCTTTGGGGTGGGTGGAGGGCAGAGGGAAGTGACATGCTCTACATTGAGACCAGGGTACCATTGCTAGTTCCATTGTTTGCGATGGGTGGTACAGAGCGGCTTTAGTAAGGGGAAATCCCTTGGAAAGCGATGTATATCTTCCCCAGGACTTGCCACAGAATGAGGATTTTTCCCTTTAATTTTGACTATGAATTGATACCTTCTTGATTTATTGGTTTGTATTCCATTTTCAGAGTACTTCCTAATATCTTCTTTATGAAAATACTGGTAAATAGTTACTGTGTGTGTAAACATACATATGTGTACATATATTATAAATACACATATATAGAAATAGACACACACTATATTCACCAATTGTTTGCTCAGTAATCTATATTTATTTTCAGTGGAATCTTTGCTGTCACTCTGTAAGGGGAAAAAAGAATCTCCCTTCTCCTCCTTGATCATTCCCTTTGAAATGCAGAGATGATACATTTCCTTTGTGTCTCTGTGCTCCTCTCTGTTAGGTCAAGGGAGTGAAAAAGATCACACCTCGGATTGGGGCAAAAGTTGAGCTGTGGTTTTCAGTACTGTTTTAGCAGTAAGATGATCCATGGAGAGTCTATGTGTGAGCAAGTTTCTGAACTTCGTGGAATTGTGACCTTGCCGCAAGCAAGCAGTCACTTGAGGATCATGTGACAGACAGATAATAAAGGTGCTCAATGTAATTAGAGCTCTGAGACTGTAAGACGAAGGGATGCATGGAAATTCAGACTGCAGAGGCTGGGGAGCTGAACAGAACACCTAGCTCTGTGTTGTGTTGAGAGGACGCATTAGTCAAGGGAAGGGGCTCAGATGTTTCCTGTTCCCACAAAAGGGAGCAAGAGAGTTGCTAACCATGGACTCACAGCTCAGCTCCAGGCCAGAAATGCTAGGAAGGGTCTTGAGCATGCCAGAGGTTCATGGACAAAAACACCTGAAGGAGGCCTGAGGCTGTGGCAGAACCACCTCCCCTTCAGAATGAACTCCCACTCTCACCCAGAGATATTACAGTGTCTGTGTGCTAACAGTGACATTGTAGAAGTTGACAATACTTGAGCACCATGGGAGGAGTGGAGAGGTTCCTCTTATCATTGCTGGTTTTAATCTCCCATCTCTCTTCTTTGACAGGCGATCCAGATCATGTGTGGTGTGATGGTGTTGTGTCTGGGCATCATTTTGGCATCTGCTCCAACCACGCCACACTTTACCCCAGTGTTTTCTGTCCTGTTAAAATCTGGCTACCCATTTGTAGGATCCTTGTTTGTAAGTAAAGTTTTGTGGGGAGCAAGATGGGAGAGCAGAGGAGGGAGATATCACCTAGCTCACTGTCTGTCTGCTGTGAGGAAGAGGTGGATGGTAGATCTGGTTCTTCTGTGTGTCATCCACAGAAAGTCCTAGTGTATTAGGGCAGAGGTTACACCATTCTGAAGATGATTTTCATGTAGTTCAAATAAACATTTCTTGTGAATATCATCTTTTCATCCCACCTTTTGAGCTATGATGAATTTAGTGGCCTTGCATGTTTAGGGAAAAGTCCAGGAAGTGGGATCCACATGATCTAGAGCTTTGTATTTAGTGCAGTGATACCCAGTGGACTGATCACCTGGCAGGAAGGAATGCTTTCATTCTTAGGATCCGGCTTTTTTGGAAGAACTCAGGGTGATAAGCCGGAGATTCCTCAGAAACTGCTCCATGTCTGGGGTCAGGAGGACATGAAGGTTCTTCTCCTCCAGATTGATGTGCATGAGTCTCACACACAAGTGAGGTTTCCTGTCACTGTGGCTTCCCATGTGCTTACTACAGCTCAGTAACAGTTCTCCCTTTCCTACATTTCTTTCTCCAATGCATCCTTAGCTCCACCTTTTCTTCTGTGGTGCTGATGATTTCTGCTTTAGTCATTTCATGCCAAAACATTGACTTCATCAGTTATTCGTGAAGACACTTCTTTGCCCACTGAAGGACTCTTTGTTGTCCTCTCTTCCTGCTCTTCTCTTGACTTCCTCTTATAGACGACCTTTTAGGTTTTCTTTGTGATGACTTTATGTGATGACTTTGATAGTTGTCCAAGATGCCGATCTAATTGAGGCCAGGATGAGGAATGATTAGGTGATGCCAGGTCTCAGGACAGATGTGTACTGTAAACATCAGCTCTCTGTTTAAATAACCCTTTTCAGGTAGTTATGGTGTTGTTTTTATCCCTTAGCTTTTCTTCCTCTCCATTCTGTGGTCTTCTCATGTCATTAAGCATTGCTGACACGGGTAAAATAATTTGGTTGATTTTAGCTTAACTTTAAGAATATATACTAAGAGCTGGTGCAGTAGCTAAGCAGTAGAACACTTACGTGATATGCACAAGGCCCTGGGTTCAATCTCCAGCACAACCCAGGAAAAGAATCACTTATGTATATGGACATGTTAATAAATCCTGGAGAACTGAAACATCAGATAATTTTGCATTTTAAAATTCATTTTCAGAAAAATTCTATTATTTAACTTCCTTATGTCTACAGAATCTAAGAAAACAGTTTTGCTTGACCTTTTGAACAATTTTTGTTTAAGAGTTCATGACATCCAGCCATCCTGTCTTCTGTTCTCATTCATCCGGTCTCTGGAACCACCAGCTAGAAGTTGATTTTCTGCTCTTGCACAGCAGTTAATTAATCTGTTCCTCCTCCTTTTTTAAAGGAACTAGTTCAAATTATTTTCAAACTCCTACAAAAATCAGAATGAGAAGGACACACTTCAGAACCCATTTTGGAAGCTAGTATTATTCTTATACGAAAGTCAGACAAAGATATTATAAGAAAAGGAAAGTAAGGGTGAAATTCCTGAGAATATAATTTCAAACTTCTTTAGCAGTATACCAGCACACTGAGTATGACAGCACGTGGGAAAGAGTACTCAGCAAGGTTAGGTGGAATTTGCTTGGAGATGTAAGAGAGGTTTAATATATGCCACTGAGTAAGTATGATATCCCTTTAATAATGGTGGCACAAATCCAAAATGGCCATTCCTCACTAGTTTTTCTTTCTAGACCAGTATCTTGCATTTTTCTTCAAGGATCTGACTCCCAGATTTTCTTTTCATATTAAAAATATTCATTTGCTATCTTTTAAGGTACTCATTAATTTTAATGATATCGATTCATGCTCACATGTTTCTTTTCTCCAAACTTTCTAGATATCACATAGAGAAAGGGGCAAATCTATGTGTCTACATGTGTCTTAAATCACTGGTCTTTTGTTACCAGGGTTTTTCCCATTAGAGTTTTTCATAAGCTCTAGATAGCAACATTGCAGTCATTCCATACCTACAAACTGAGCTGATGATGTCTTCCTCTTCTCTGAGCAGTTGGTTGTCTCTGGAATACTGTCTGTCATCACTGAGAAGAAGATGTCTAAGCCTTTGGTGAGTACAGGAGCCATAAGCTACAATCGATGAGGATGGATCCTAGAGAGAACCCTTCCAAGCCAGTTTCAGCAGATTGGGAGTTAGAAGCTACGTTTCAAACAGCTGTTTCTTTGACTTAGGAGCCAACTCTGGATTCTCCATAACCCTTTACAGAGTGTGTTCTTCTTGTCATGGTGCCCAAAATCAAAGTCTGCATGATACTCATGATCAGTGTCCAGGAATCTCTCACAAAAATTCTGCTTCCTTATGCTGCTAATTCATAGGTAACATGTCTGGTAGTTCATTTTAATCATCATCTTTATTGCAGTAGGGCACATGGAGAAGATTAGGCATCATACCTCTGAGACCATTCTGAGGATCCAGATGAGGAAATGTTGGCCTTTCTCTCTCTTATTTGCCACAGTGTGAGCTTTTCTACTCTGCCAACTCCTTTCTACAACCAGGGGTTAAACCTGTGAATCCATGAGCCAAAATGCTTCACTTCTTCCTTAGGTTGATCATATGAGGCATTTTTTGTCAAAACAAAAGTCTCCCGAAATCACTTTTTTTCTTCTTTTTTTAGTAGTGGCACAAAAAGGCTTATAGAAAAGCTACAAATGTTGTGGATTTGTTGTATATTTTCACCCACTAATTTTAAAACTTAAGAAAACCAGATAGGATGTTGTTTTTACATGAGGAGTTTTCCTACATATTTGAATTATCACATATGAAATATGCTTTTGTCAGGGCTCACTTTCAGCATCCTGATTGTGGATATTGATTAAGAAGTCCAAGGATATGACTTGTTAGTGTTCAAAGCAACAGAACTAAGTGACCTATTTAATCTAAAACAGAAAAGTGGCATATCTGATCAAACTATACTCTATTGTACAGCAGTTAGGTATACTCCAGTACCTTCATACTCATGTCCATAACTTTTAGAAAGGTCTTAGGTCAATTCTCATATTCTATAAGCCACACAAGAAAAGAAGCTGTTTCTGATATCAGTTTATTTATCTCCCTACCTCATGAATATTGCAAAGATGAGATCCAGGGTGACACTTGGTGGAAGTCACCGAGGAACTGAGTGTTCAAGGACACTGGGAGTCTGGAGAACTCTGGTCCTGTTTCCTTCTTTATCACATTGTTTCCAAATATTGTATTATTTGTTGTCTTGTGCTGTCAAAGAATACAGCCTTCTGTACCTGACCATTAGTATAGCCAGTCATATGAATATAGACACTCTATGGCCCATTTATTATGTTATCGTATTCATGTCCAGGTGTGTGTGCTTTTGAGAGAGAGATAGTATACCAGGGGGAGCTTAACTACTTTATGTGCCACTCCCATGTGTTCCTGAAGGTTTCCTGGGTGTTTCTAAGCATACGAGTCAGTTTTAGTTTTTTTGAAACAAAAATAAGGGATGAATCCATTTATGAAGAGGAATGGCTTATTTGGGCTCACATTTGAGCCATTGATGTTTGGATCTGTTCCTTTGGAGCCAGCAGAGAGGCAGAAACATGTCCAGAAACACAATATGACAAACCTTCAACCAGGCTACATTTGCTAAAGGCTCATATTATCACTCACCTAGAAATTAGGCCTTCACTACGTGGGCTTTGGGGGCATGTCAGATTCAAATTATACCACTGAAGGTGTTGAGGGATAGGGAAAACTGGCATCTACACTTCTACCTTTCGCTACATTCTATTGGGGATTTTTCAGGCTTACTTCCTGGGAGTCTACTTGTGGTTGTGAACAAAGCTATTAGGAAGATTATTTTTTTTCTCTGCCTCTGAAGTGCTGTCTGGGATGGGATTCTATTTATCGAATCAATTTACCTTCTGGGTTCATGTTTGTAGACACTTAAATAGCATAAAGAAATAAACAATTATATTTTTAGATCCTGGAGGAGACAAATAACTGGGACTATTGTAAGAGATATATGTTGTCATTGCAGGTTCACAGCAGCCTAGCCCTGAGCATCTTGAGTGCACTCTCTGCTCTCATAGGCATCATTATCCTCTCCATCAACCTGGCTTCTTTAGACTCTGCCTTGCAACAGTGTAAACTAATGGCAATACCACATCTAGCCACAACCACAACATATTATCGTTTCCTTCACCCACAGCTATCTGACAAGAACTGTTTCAAGGCTGACGATACTCTGACTGTAAGTATGTTCCAGGTTTTATGGATTTTTGACAGCTGATTTCTTCTGCTCCTAGATTGGAAACTCTCTACTCATTCTCTGTTATTGTTTCTATTTTAAAATAATTAGTTTTAAAACAAAGACACAAAGTAGTTGGCTTCATTATGGCATTTTCATATGCATTTTTTAAAAATTCGTGTTTGTGCATTTAGGATAAAGCCAGAGCCATGAAAGACACAGGCAAGAAGAAACATATTATTGAAATGCTACACAAAGGGGTCATGTAGTAATAGCAAAAGATTAGGTGAAATTAGCAAATTTAGTAGATGATAAAACTATAAAGACCACTTTTTTCATTTCTTAAGAATTATAGAAGATACTGCAGTTTTAGAGGTATAAAAGATGAGGCTGTCAAACCAAAAGTCTTGATTATGGAGTGGTGAATGAAGACAGGCATACATACCAGAAAAAAGCAGGTAATCACTAATTATACTAACAGGGAGCACCTAGGCTTTGTGAAGGTAATCTCACTGCTGCTTCCAATAGAAATCAAAGAGTTGAGATTTATTAAATGAGGAGAAAAGAAATACAGGGAAGCAGAGAAGATTAACTGACAGTGAGCGCCATGTTATTTAGAAGAACATTCATTGTCCCTTTATGATAAAAGTCAGAGACACAGATAAGCCAGAGACACAGTGAGTGGAGGGCCAGATAGTTAGGTCTGGTCAGCCTCAGGCTTTTTCAGTTCCTTATGGGGCAGAGCTCAGTGTGTCTTCTTAGTTAAGAAACCACAATAAGAAAATGTATAAGCAGATTAGATGCAGAACAATGATGGTAACTAAGCCTGAATTTACAAGCCTGAAGCATTGAGGAGGAATCTGTGTGGACCACAGAGTATGAGGCATGATGGGATAGTTTCACAGGTAACTCAGAGAGTGGGCTGAGTGTGTTTGCTGGGACAATGTCTAGATGATGGAGGTCTTCTCCATCTCCTCTCTACCTGTGTGGGCACAAATAAAAGAGTTTATAGCATCATATTCATCTTCCTTCCTATCAAGCAGCCTTCATGAGCATCACCTCAGGACGGAAGTCATGGCCTCTGTGTTCCTAGCCAAGGCCCTTCTTCCAGTTGATCTGTGGTGTTACGGACTGTAGAAACCGGGTTGTTTCTCTGCCTTTTACCACCACACAAAAAATGCCAAAGAACCACATCCCAAGTAAGAGGTTTCTATAGATGTTTACTTTTACAAAGAGTTAGAACCCCACTAACCCTCACAAGGCTCTGTGGAGGAATAAATGTTACACACATGCGAGAAAGCAGGTACTTGCCCAGCCTCACACTAAGAGAACCAAGAGCAGGAGCTGTTGACCCCATCCTGGCAGTCACTTCTCCACTCTGCTCTCTCACTCAGTGGACAGTGTGGTCAGGGATCCCTGCCCAAGATGGGTGAGAAGCAGGGGCAGAAATGGCTTTGTTGTGTCTTTTTAGCCCATTTCCCCTCAAGGAATGAAGGGGCCAGGCATCGATTTAAGCCTAGGTTTGGGAGGATCCATTTCCCTCCTTGATGGTGTCCTTTCTTCACTCTCTGATAGTGGAGATGCTTTCCTCTCTAGAGTCACTTCCCATCAAAACGTGTGGGCACTTCAGGTGACTCAGTCACTCACCTCTCCTCTCCTGAATTTAGGGAACCCTCTCAGTGATGCTGATCTGCAGTGTGGTGGAGCTTGGTCTGGCTGTGCTCACTGCCGTGCTGTGGTGGAAACAGAGTCACTCTGACTTCCTTGGGGTGAGTATGCTAGAGGCCTCCTGGAATCTTGTTTGGTGTTTCTCTGAGGCATTACCACTATGAATATCAGGCAGAATAGTCAACTATTTTGAAATGTTGTCATGTGGTTTTCATAGTGAGGGAACCCCAGTGGATAATGGAGAGAGGAGACAGATGTATAGATGATGAGGTATACCTAGAATAATTGGTTCTTTCACAAATAACAATAAGAAGTTTGGGGAAGTTAAATAGCATTACACTGTGTTTGTCTGTGTTCATAATGCAAGAGTTTGATTGCCTCCCTTTGAAACAGGAACCCTTTCCCTAGGAGTGACTATCCTCTGACCCTCTTAGCATTCTCATCTTTGAATAGAGATGACGTTTATGTAAAACTTCAAAGGAAATTATATTTATATCTTTATCTGTTTATCTATAGGTAGAGATAGATGCACATATATTCAGTTAAATCTGAGGAAAGTCTGAATGTTGATGTATTTTCTTTTTTCTAGAATGTGATTTTCCTGTCTCGGGACTCAAAGAATAAATTCAGTGTATCCTCAGAGTCACTTTGTAACCCTAAATATGAGAAACAATTGACTTCTTAATAATTAAGTAGAGATTATATAGTAGAGTATCAGTCTTTAGTATAATTTAGAAAAGTCATCCATCACATGACAGCAATGCTTAAATATCTTATGATGTGGCCGGGCGTTGGTGGCACACGCCTTTAATTCCAGCACTGAGGAGGCAGAGGCAGGCAGATCTCTGTGAGTTCGAGACTGACAGCCTCCAAAACAATACAGAGAAACCCTGTCTCGTAAAACCAAAAAAAAAATCTTATGATGTGTGTTGGTTATTCAGCCACTGTGAAAGGTGTGCTGAATGGCTGGGTTCGGTAGCATGCTCTTCATTTTGTTTCAACCAAAGCTCAGACTGGCAAGTTCCAATTTTATGTACTGATCAAAGAGCCGCAGACGTTTCTCAGAAGACTAGCAGATTGTGTCAGAGGCGCAAGGTGGGGTAAAGGTGCAGCATTTCTCTTTATCCTTTGCACTTGGCTGCAGGTGGTACACGTCAAGTCCGGTGATCTGAATCTATGTACATGGCATGGGACTTTGCCATATTTATTTTATTCCTAAGCACTATGAAGTTTCAAAGAACATGCATGCTGTTGTCCTCCAAATAAATTCTATATGCAATTAAATATTTCATTTGTATGGTTTTGTTTTGCTTTTTAGCACACAGCATATCACTAGTGATAGACATGTCAAGATAAAATGTCTTTATTCCCCACCAAATACAATCAAAAGTTGCACAGAAAAGCTAACGAAGAAAACTCATCATTTACTAAGAAAGAATCAGGGACTGGGAAGATGGCTCAGATGTTAAGAGCACTGGCTGCTCTTCCAGAAGTTCTGAGTTCAATTCCCAGCATTCACACAGTGGCTCACAACCATCTGGTACCCTCTTATAGCCTGCAGGGATACCTGTAGGCAGTATACTATACACATAATAAATAAATCTTAAAAAAAAGGAGTCGGTATATTTTTTTCTGATTTCAAAATATAAAGGAACAGTTGTGTTTTCCCAGTGTTCACGCACATGTTTGTTATCCTGCTTGTGCATGTTTCCCCTTTTTCTTTTTCTATTGCCAATTCTATTCACAAAACTGCAAGAAATGATATCAAGGTAAAAATGAATCTGAATGAATATTCAATATTTAGCAATACTGGGTACCACATAGGATACTTGATTCTGGGGTCACCAGAGTTAACACAATAATATCCATGGCTTCAAGGCATTCACAGTCAAATACTGGAAGTGGAGTTAACAGTAAACTGAGGATTGTATTATACTGGGTACTTATTCAACCTTAGTCTAGGATAACGTCTATTTTATTCTGCCCATAAAGTGTAGAAAATGAGGAAAGAAGAGGTAAGGGGAGAGAGGTCCTGTGGGTAAGTGAGCATGAGAACAGTGTGTAAGATTGGGGGAAAGCCCAGGAATCCACAAGGATGACCCCAGCTAAGATTCTAAGCAATAATGGAGAGGGTTCTTGAACTGACCTTTTTCTGTAATCAGATTGATGACTGCCCTAATTGCCATCATATAACTGATGGAAGCAGATGCAGAGATCCACAACTAAGCACTGGCCAAGCTCCCAGAGTGCAGTCGAAGAGGGGGAAGGAGCAATATTATGAGCAAAGGATCAAGACAATGATGGGGAAACCACAGAAACAGGTGACCTGAGCTAGTGAAAACTCACTGACTCCAAACTGACACCTGAAGCCTGCATGGGACAAAACTAGGACCTCCTGATGTGGGTATCTGTTTATGGGGCTACTGGTAGTGGGACTAGGATTTATCCCTAGTGCATGAACTGGCTTTTTAGAGCCCATTCCCTGTGGAGGGATACCTTGCCCAGCCTAGATACAGGGAGAGGGCCCTGATCCTGCCTCAAAGTGAAATGACTTACTTTGTTGACTCCCCATGGGAGGTTCATTCTCTCTGGGGAGTGGATGGGGGGTGGAGTACAGGAGAGGGAAGGTAGGGGAGTGGAGGGAGGGGAAGAAGAGAGAACTGTGACTGGAATGTAACATAAAAGAAAAAAAAACAAAAATAAAAAAGATTGGGGAAAAGACTACTTCTTGGCTGAACTATGGTGGCAGGAAATTTTAGTACCCTACATCATTAATTTGATGTACAGTGACCTAACAAACCTTTATTATTTGATTGGCTGTCTCAACCTTGAAGAGTGTCTGCAATCAAAGTGAAGCGATTGAAAAAGAGTGGTATCCTGTAAATTGGTATAGAAATGTGTGAGAGGGTCCTGACGAAATGATGAGTCTTAGGACATGGTACTCTAAGATTATGATGGGTCTATTCTGACAGAGAAACTGCCTTTTCTCTTAGTGGATTCCCAGCCTGACTGGAGTCCTACTGTACCCATGTGTTACAGAATTAAACAACCAATGTCTGGTAAATACTTCTTTTTCTCCTTACCTGTCTGTAAGGTCTACCAGTATCAATTTACTTTCAGATGGCAAAACCAGCAGTATAAGTCCACTGTCCAGTCCCCAAAGTATATTAATTGTCTCAGAACCTATTTCTCTTTGCACTTTGTGTTTTTTGAGATATGGTCACTTTTGCTGTTTTGATACTAGGCATCAGTCTGTGTTAAGGTTTGCATTTAATTATGCTGCTGTCTCGGTGTTATCTGAAATAACAGCTTAATAAGTGAGGTATTAGAGACTTCTAGTGAACTCTCTGACTTGTTCAATAATTTTTAGGGACCTTGGTACAATTCTGAATGGGGCCCATGTCCTTTGTCCTCTCTCTCTCTCTCTCTCTCTCTCTCTCTCTCTCTCTCTCTCTCTCTCTCTCTCTCTCTCTCTCTCTCTCACACACACACACACACACACACACAAACACACACTGCAGTCAAACACTTTTGTTAAGGATGTTCTCTGCTACAAAATAGAAAAATACTCTGTATATTTCTAAGAGGAATTCATTAAAAAAAGGAGAAACTACTGTTTTTCTTTGTACTGGAGGGAATTTTATAGGTTATTTTTTGTGATTCTTAGTGTTGTGTTCATTTGGGTACCTGAGGTGAAGTCACATAGTTCTGAAAGAAAACCCTGATAGTGAGTAGATAGTGCCTAGATACATAGATCGATACACAGGCATTTACCAAATGTGTAAATTCTTTAAATATATAAATTAGAACACAAGCATGAACAATATGACAGAACAATAATATTTAATTTTATACAAAAGGCATAGCACAAAACTTCAAGGAACATGCTTAAATTTTAATTTGTATAAAAAATTGACAGCTTGGCATAAACATGAGAATATTTAAAAGTGAGAAAAATCAGTTAAACCCAGTGCTAACTTAAGAAATTATTGACAGTGCTATAAAGAATTACCAATTAAAAAAAAATAGAGATCATGGTGCTCAAAGCCTACTGTAGATGCCACAGGAATGCTGCCAGTACCAATGGGAGACTGACTATGAGAAAGCAGAAAGGAGATCCCACAAGATATGATCTTTGCCCAGGTTGTGACTGACTCTATCACAAAAGAGGCATTGACAGAATAGATGTAAAATGTACTAGAAGTGAATTTTTCCATATCTCTCATTTAATTTAACGTTTCTGCCTTTGATACCTGGTCACTAAACTCATAGGATAAAATGGACATGCCCTATACTCTCTTTTTAAAATGTATTTGAAAATGATTGGTGTATTTATCTTAAAATATTGAAATTAATTCACCTGTGAAGCACTCTGGGCCCAAGTTTCTTTTGTAACTATTGTGATTATTGCTCTAATTCCTTTACTTGTTATATGGCCATCCATATTTTAAATTCTTTTATGGTAGTTATTCTTGGGTTGCTTTTCATTATTTTATCTTCCTACTATTTGTTCTCATTTCATTTAATTGTATAAACTGCACAATGGTGTTCTCTGTGTGACTTTAAGTCCTTTTAGCTTCTGTAGAGTTGGTAATGATGTCTCCTTGTTCATAATAGGTTTGGAAAGTTTGATTCTAACAGTGATGACTGAGCTAAAGTTGGGAGTGCATTGGCGAAAACACCAACTATGATGTCGAGGTAGAAGGTCTTCTTTCCTTCCTTTCCTGAAACAAGATGAGTTACATGATTAGCAGTAGATGAGGATTGGGAGACATGTCTCAAAGAAAGACTCTCTTCTTCTATAAATGCTTTTAGGCAAAAAATAAGAGTAAGTGTACTTTATTGTGAACTCAAATAGAATGGATCTTAATGGCTTATTCAATAAGATCCCAATTTTACTGTCATTTTCCATTTTCAATATTTTATTACAAGTTTCTTTTTTATCATTTTTATTTTAATTTTAAATAGCTTGTTTTACATGTCAATCCCAGTTCCCTCTCCCTCCCCTCTTCCCGCACTCCCCTTCCCCCCCTCCCTCCCACGCTATTGCCAAATCCTTCCACATAGGGGATATATAGAGTCTGTCATTTTACTCTTGGTAGGGTCAAGGCACTCCCCTAAGAGTCCAGGCTGAGAGAGCATCTCTCTTTGTGCTATAGGCACATGAAGACAGTTTGTATACCAGGGATAGACACTGATCCACAGCTCAGGGCCCCATAGGTTGCCCAGGCCTTCTCACTGACACTCACATTTGGGGGGTCCAGATCAGTCCCATGCTGGCCTCCCCACTGTCGCTCTGGGGTCCAAGAGCACTCCCCTGTTCAGATCAGCTGTCTCTGCTGGTTTTTCCAGCCCATTCTTTGCCAATTTGCTCATCACTCCTCTCTCTCTGTCACTGGGTTCCTTGGGTTCAGTTCAGTGATTAGTTGTGTGTTTGCCTCTGCTTCCATCAGTCACAGGATGAAGGCTCCCGGATGGTTATAGACATCAAGTTCATTATCAGGAATGGGCATTCGAGGTGGTCCCTCCACTATTGCTTAGCTTGCCAATTGATGTTATACCTTTGGATCACTCGAGGTCACTCTGGTGCCTGATCTGTCTTCGATCCTATGATTTCCTCTTCCCCCTATTATACCCCCACCCCCTCAACTTCCTGTTCCCCCATGACCAACTCCCTTCCTCTTTACCCCCTCTATTCTTCCCGGGTCCCACTCCCCCCGACCCCTCGCCGTGTTCCCCATCCATTCAGAGGATTTTGTCTCCATCCTCTTCTCTTAGGTACTATGCATATATGCATATCTTTTAGGTTCTTTCCTGTTTCCCAGACTCTCTATCTGTGGAAGTGCAGACTGGCACTATCCTGATCCATATCTAAAATCCATATATGAGTGAGTACATACCATGTTTGTCTTTTTGCGACTGGGTTACCTCACTCAGGATGGTTTCTTCCAGTGCTATCCATTTCCCTGCGAATTTCAAGATTCCATTGTTTTTTTCTGCTGAGTAATACTCCATTGTGTAAATGTACCACATTTTCTCTATCCACTCTTCAGTTGAGGGGCATCTAGGTTGCTTCCAGGTTCTGGCTATTACAAACAATGCTGCTATGAACATAGTGGAGCAGATGCCCTTGTTGTATGAACCTGCCTCATTTGGATAAATGCCTAAGAGTGGAATTGCTGGGTCTAGTGGTAGATTAATTCCCATTTTCCTGAGGCATCTCCATACTGATTTCCAAAGAGGCTGTATGAGTCGGCATTCCCACCAGCAGTGGAGGAGTGTTCCTCTCTCTCCACATCCTCTCCAGCATAAATTGTCTTCGGTGTTTTTGATTCTAGCCATTCTGACAGGAGTAAGATGGTATCTCAGAGTTGTTTTGATTTGCATTTCCCTGATGGCTAAGGATGTTGAGCACTTTCTTAAGTGTCTCTTGGCCATTTTAGCCTCCTCTACTGAGAAGTCTCTATTTAGCTCTGTACCCCACCTTTCAAGTGGATCCTTTGGTGTTTTGGAGACTTGTTTCTTGAGTTCTTTGTAAATTTTGGAGATTAGCCCTCTGTCAGATGTAGGGTTAGTGAATATCTTTTCCCATTCTGTGGCCTGCCTTTTTGTCTTTTTGACTGTGTCCTTTGCCTTACAGAAGCTTTTTAGTTTCAGAAGGTCCCATTTGTTAATTGTCGATCTCAGTGCCTGTGCCACTGGTGTTATGTTTAGGAAGTGGTCTCCTGTACCAACTCGTTGAAGAGTATCTCCCACTTTCTCTTCTAAAAGTTTCAGTGTGGCTGGATGTATGTTGAGATCTTTGATCCATTTGGACTTAAGTTTTGTACAAGGCGATAAACATGGATCTATCTGCAGTCTTCTGCATACCAGTACCCAGTTATGCCAGCACCATTTGTTGAAGATGCTTTCTTTTTTCCACTGTACAGTTTTAGCTTCTTTGTCAAAAATCAGGTGTTCATAGGTGTGTGGGTTAAAATAGGGCTTTCGATTCGGTTCCATTGGTCTACCTGCCTATTTTTGTGCCAATACCAAGCTGTTTTCAGGACTATAGCTCTATAATAGAGCTTGAAGTCAGGTATGGTGATGCCTCCTGAAGTTCCTTTATTGTATAGGGATGTTTTGGCTATCCTGGGACTTTTGTTTTTCCATATAAAGTTGATTAATGTTCTTTCCAGGTACTTGAAGATTTGTGATGGAATTTTGATAGGGATTGCATTGAATCTATAGACTGCTTTTGGCAAGATTGCCATTTTTATTATGTTGATCCTACCAATCCAAGAGCATGGGAGATCTTTCCATTTTCTGGTATCTTCTTTGATTTCTTTCTTCAAAGACACAAAGTTCTTGATATACAGGTCTTTCACTTCCTTGGTTAACATTATCCCCAGATATTTGATGCTGTTTTTGGCTATTGTAAAAGGTGATGTTTCTCTGATTTCTTTCTCAGTCACTTCATCATCTGTATATAATAGGGCCACTGATTTTTTTGAGTTTACCTTGTATCCTGCCACATTGCTGAAGGTGTTTATCAGCTCTAGGAGTAACCTTGCGGAGTTTTTTGGGTCACTTATGTAAACCATCATATCATCTGCAAATAGTGAAAGTTTGACTTCTTCTTTTCCTATTTGTATCCCCTTTATCTCCTTTTGTTGTCTTATTGCTGTAGCTAGAACTTCAAGTACAATATTGAAAAGATATGGGGAGAGTGGACAGCCTTGTCTTGTTTCTGATTTTAGAGGAATTGCTTTGAGTTTCTCTCCATTTAGTTTGATGTTAGCTGTTGGTTTACTGTATATTGCTTTTATCATATTCAGGTACGTTCCTGTTATCCCTGATCTCTCTAGGACCTTTATCATGAAGGGGTGCTGGATTTTGTCAAAGGCTTTTTCAGCATCTAGTGAGATGATCATGTGGTTTTTCTTTCGCAGATTGTTAATATGGTGGATTACATTGATAGATTTTCTAATGTTGAACCATCCCTGCATTCCTGGAATGAAGCCTACTTGATCATGGTGGATGATTTTTCTGATGTGTTCTTGAATCCGGTTTGCAAGTATTTTATTGAGTATTTTTGCATCAATGTTCATGAGGGAAATTGGTCTATAGTTCTCTTTCTTAGTTGTGTCTTTGTGTGGCTTGGGTATCAAGGTAATTGTAGCCTCATAGAAAGAGTTTGGCAGTGAGCCTCCTGCTTCTATTGTGTGGAATACTTTGACGAGTATTGGAATGAGCTCTTCTTTGAATTTCTGGTAGAATTCTGCACTGAAGCCATCTGGGCCTGGGCTTTTTTGTTTGGGAGACTTTTGATGACTGCTTCTATTTCATTAGGGGTTATAGGTCTGTTTAGATTATTTATCTGTTCTTGATTTAGTTTTGGCAAGTGATATCTATCCAGGAAATTGTCCATTTCCTTTAAATTTTCAAATTTTGTGGAGTACAGATTTTCAAAGTATGCCCTGATGATTCTCTTGATTTCCTCAGAGTCCGTTGTTATGTCCCCTTTTTCATCCCTGATTTTGTTAATTAGCATGTTCTCTCTCTGTCTTTTGGTTAGTTTGGACAGAGGTTTGTCTATTTTGTTGATTTTCTCAAAGAATCAACTCTTTGTTTCATTGATTCTTCTCAGTGTTTTCCTGGTTTCTACTTGATTGATTTCAGCCCTCAGTTTGATTATTTCCTGGCGTCTGCTCCTCCTGGGGGAGTTTGCTTCTTTTTGTTCTAGAACATTCAGCTGTGCTATTAATTCTCTAGTATGACTGTTCTCCAGTTTTTTTCATGTGGGTGTCTTTATGTTGTACACATATTTTACATGGATGTATGTCTGTGCACAATATGCCTGTCTGGTGCCCACAAAGGCCAGAAGAGGGTGACAGATCATCTGAAACTGAAGTTACAAATGTTTGTGAGCATCCATGTGGGTGCTGGAAACTAAACTCAGGTCTTCTACAGGACCAATCTGTGCACTTAATTGCTGAGACATCTCTCAAGCCTCCTATAAGAAATGAAAAAATGTCTCTTATTTGCTCTGGTAATCCTAGAAATAAATTTTCCATCTGGCACCTGAAAAATATGTTGTTAAACTCTGAATGTTCATTCAGATTCAGTTTAATACACATAACATGCACACTATACATTCTCTCTCTCTCTCACACACACACACACACACACACACACACACACACACGACAGAGATATATGCCTAGTTGTCTCTCCCATGACTTTTTTCATGGAAATACTACAAAGGGATATCATAATAATATGTTTCTGTGTCACGGGGGCTTGATCTGTGCTTAAAGGCAAAGCAACAGCAAAAACCCTTACAAACAGAACACACTATCACAAAAACACTTTATTTTGACACCAACAACATGTATAGTTCTTGAGACTTCATTGCAGGACACTTGTTTCTATGTACTAGTGAATAAAATTGACATAATGAAAAACCCATGCCATCACAGGGATTCTGAACACAGGGATAACATGGTTAACTATTGTTGTTAATGGCAGGGGACAAGACAATGTTGCTCCTTTGCTCCACCATTATCCCCTGAAACATTCTGTTAGTTTTCCAACAAATATCCAGGGTTCTTTGGCCACTATTTGCAGTCTGAGCTTTGGTTGAAGCCAAGGTCATGAAAGTCAAGAGTTTGTCACTGGGCACACCCATTCAACACATTACTGGTATTAACTTTTTAAACAGCCATGTTTTAGGAAACACAAGCATTGCTGCCTTGTGATGGTTGGATTTTCTGCTTTATCATGAAGACGGGCTCTCCACTGTATATTTCCATTTTTTTTATTCTTAAGAAACTAAATGTTCTGCATATGCAGGATTACAAAGTGACTTTGATTCCATGCTGGATTCATTATTTGAGTTGCGAGACCTGAAAATCACATTCTAGAATAAAGAAAATATGTTGTTTAAAACTACAAATGAATATATATGTATATATATACATATATGCACACACAAGCAATATATGTGTATACACATAGGAAGGTAGATAGATACATAGATACATGAAAGAATTTCATTTGGTGTTGTACATAGAACTTGTAGGTGTTCTAAGATGAGAATAACAATAACTATATATACATACATATATATATATATATATATATATATATACTTTTTGAGACAGGGTTTCTCTGTGTAGCTTTGGAGCCTATCCTGACACTCACTCTGTAGACCAGGCTGGCCTCGAACTCACAGAGATCAGTCTGCCTCTGCCTCCTGGGTGCTAGGATTAAAGGTGTGTGCCACCAACGACCAACTGAGCATAACACATTATTAAGTTGTGCACATATTTGATGTATATCACCTAATCTTCATCCTACACTCTAAGTAAGGATCTAGTTAGAGCAAAGCTTTCAGTTCAGTTACTGAAGACATGCATTGTGGGAGCTGGCTGAGAAGGGTTACATGCAACTGCTAAACATCATTGTCTTAATATCTTTGATGCAAGAAAAATTTTAAGATCAGAAGGAAAGAAGCAGAGCCTAAGATACTGACTGATACATTCAAGTGTACAATTTGTCTTTACCAAGTCAAGGCTTTTAATGAGACTAGTATCTGTAGGAGAAAGTAGTCCTGTTTAGAAGAGAGGCAACCAGGCTCCAGCATCCAGAACACAGGGAAACCTGATGTGGGATGTCCTTCTGTATGCTATGAATATGTATTTCTATTATTGGTTGATGAATAAAGCTGTTTCAGCCAATGGACAGGCAGGATTTAGCCAGGCAGGATATCTGAACAAGGTTAGTAAAAGGTAATAGGCAGAGTCAGGAGACACCATGTAGTTACTGGGGAGGTAGGATGTCTCTGCTAAGAAAAGGCCACGTGAAGATACACAGATTAATAAAATTGGGTTAATAATAAAGATAGGTAGCAGTAAAAAGCCTAAGCCAATTACCAAAGAATTATAAATAGATATTAAGTCTCAGGGAGGTTATTTCAAACTGGTCCAGTGGGACTGAGACTAGACAGAGGAAAAACTCCTTTCTACACAAACTCAGCATCATCCCAGGTGATACATTTAACTTCCCAGTGTCTTAGTTCCTTTGTTTGCAAAAATGGAAGAACCAGGTGAAGTGTTAGGGTCACCTGTTTTCACATTCAAATAATCCTTATCAGCTACACAATTGCCTTCTACCCCTTCATCTACAGTCCCAACTCACTGTCCAAACCATCTGATGCTCACATAGTGGGAACTGATTATTCTATATACTGCTCCATGGCAGCAAAGATCAGCACATCCCAGAGAAACACCAAACAAGATTTTGGGAGGCCTATAGCATACTTACCCTAGATAAGTCAAAGTGACCCTGGTTCCACCACAGCATGGCAGTGAGCACAGCCAGACCAAGCTCCACCACACTGCAGATCAGCATCACTGAGAGGGTTCCCTAAATTCAGGAGAGGAGAGGTGAGTGACTGAGTCACCTGAAGTGCCCACACGTTTTGATGGGAAGTGACTCTAGAGAGGAAAGCATCTCCACTATCAGAGAGTGAAGAAAGGACACCATCAAGGAGGGAAATGGATCCTCCCAAACCTAGGCTTAAATCGATGCCTGGCCCCTTCATTCCTTGAGGGGAAATGGGCTAAAAAGACACAACAAAGCCATTTCTGCCCCTGCTTCTCACCAATCTTGGGCAGGGATCCCTGACCACACCGTCTACTCAGTGAGAGAGCAGAGTGGAGAAGTGACTGCCAGGACAGTCAATAGTTCCTGCTCTTGGTTCTCTCAGTGTGAGGCTGGGCAAGTCCTTGCTTTCTCGCACGTGTGTAACATTTATTCCTCCACAGAGCCTGGTGAGGGTTAGTGGGGTTCTAACTCTTTGTAAAAGTAAACATCTATAGAAACCTCTTACTTGGGATGTGGTTCTTTGGCATTTTTTGTGTGGTGGTAAAAGGCAGAGAAACAACCCGGTTTCTACAGTCCGTAACACCACAGATCAACTGGAAGAAGGGCCTTGGCTAGGAACACAGAGGCCATGACTTCCGTCCTGAGGTGATGCTCATGAAGGCTGCTTGATAGGAAGGAAGATGAGTGTGATGCTGTAAACTCTTTTATTTGTGCCAACACAGGTAGAGAGGAGATGGAGAAGACCTCCATCATCTAGACACTGTCCCAGCAAACATACTCAGCCTACTCTCTTAGTTACCGTGTGAAACTATCCCATCATGCCTCATACTCTGTGGTCCACACAGATTCCTCCTCAATGCTTCAGGCTTGTAAATTCAGGCTTAGTTACTCCACATGGTAATTTACTGTCATTGTTCTGCATCTAATCTGCTTATACCTTTTCTTATTGTGGTTTCTTAACTAATGAGACACACTGAGCCCAGTTCCATAAGGAAATGAGAAAGCCTGAGGTTGACCAGACCTGACTATCTTTTCCCATCATGTTTTTTCTTATCTTACTTTATTTTCATATGGTAATAAATGTTCTGCAGCATCTTCATTGTTATCTTACCCAATTTTCTCTCTATGTGTTGGGGGCCAAATGCATGCCCTTGGATGTTCTAACTAAAGACATGTTGTTGCTCTTATTCATATTGCATTACTTTCTTCCAATAAGGTGGAATTCCTTCACATCACTGTCAGTTACTCTCTGTATTTCTTTTCTCCTCACTTAATAATCCCATGTCTTTGAACTGTAATCAAATCAGTAGTGAGCTTGCTTCTACACAGGCCTGTTGCTGGTTACAGTGATCACTGGAGGGAGTAGAGGCCCTGACAAATTACGCCCCCAGCTGCTACACTTCCCACACTGAATCTCACATTTCTTAGCTGAAGTTTGCTCAACTCATCTCACCCCCATATCCCACACATGTACCAGATTTCCTCGTCCACATCTCCAGACCACCTGAATCTATTCTCGCTTAATTTACCAATCTGTAGATCATGACTCTTGGTTCAAGCTCTCATAATTTATGCTTCTAGAATAGAAACATCTTTTTCAATTCTTAAGAAATTCTAATAACAATATTTATGGTTTTATCACCTACATTATCTGGTAATTTTCTCTCAACTCCTCACTATTACCATGCAACCCCTTATTCTAAACTTTTAATTTCATGTTCTTACTTACCTTTGCTTTATTCAGCCTTGACCTTTCCCTAAGATCTCAAACCAGGCTGAGTGAAAGGTTTTCAAAAGATAGGAAAAAGACCATTATTTTCCCAAACCAGATGTTTTCAATACAGCCTTCATGGGTACTTACAGTCAAAACAGCCCCGGGGGCAGAGCAGGGACTTCTTTGTACGCGATAGTGGTAGTAATAACTACTTTCAGTTGGTCTAAGTGTCCAATTCTGCTCACATTCCTCTAAGGCAGGATGCAAACCAGCCAGGCTGACAGAGAGGATAATGATGCCCATGAAAGCAAATGAAATACCCAGGATGTTCATAGTCAGGCTCCCATGTATCTGAAATGAGCAACAACTTACACTTATACCTCTTTTCCAAAATGTTGCACCAATTCTCTTCATCAACAGCTGAAAGATTAATAACTCATTTCTCCATTCTCCCTAACTCATAATTGTGATCACTAGAACAAAGAGAGGTCCTGGTTTTCCATCCTTATTTTTCCTAGGCTCCATTTCCTAGATGATATTTTCTCAGATCACTTTACCCAACCTCTACCATATGTATTAGGCCCAAAGAATGTCTAGGACACACAAATCCAAACCATAAATGTCAACTTGATGGATAAACAGTATTTCAATGATAAGAAAGAAAATATCCCCCTGGAAAAATCTTTACCTATGACTTTTAATGGAACCTCATAATGTAAAACTGGAAAATTCTCAAGACAGTGTGAGTAAAGGAGGAGGTGCAGACACCAACTGTGTTCCCTGTCCCTCAACATTCTCACTGTGATAGTCTGGCTTTGATGGGGCCTGAGACCCACATACTAAAGATCTGATCCCCAGGTAGATGATACTGTGAGAAGCTCTAGGAAATGCGTTCTGGTCACAGGTTCCTCATCAGAGAATAGCCTGTGAAGAGGGCATATCAGAAATGATAAATTCATCTTACTCTGTCTTTTCTTTCTTGCTGCCATGTGGCACACACCTTTGCTCTCTTTAGCATGAAATGTGCCTATCTACAAGCTCAGAACAAATGGATCCACCAAAAGCATGCACCACTAAACATCAAAATATGATTCCAAACAAAGCATTCCTCCTTTTGAGTTGTGTTATCCAAGAGTTGAACTTAGACACACCTAATACTGGCTAATATACTCAGAATAACATGCCTTGCCCACAGTCCACACAAGGATGTATCAACTACAAGAAAAAGTGGGTGAAGCAGTTCATTCCTTACATACTACACAGAAGTTCATATGATCAAAGGTGAGTGTTTGGATTTTGTTCTCAGTGTTGGTAGGGTTATGATTGGCTATAACCAGAGTCATATGGGGATGGATGTAGATGGCAGGATATAGGCATGTGACTAAGGATGTTGTTATTTGTACAAACAGGATGAGGCAGAAAGAAACAGGATAGAACTAGATGTTGGTAAATTAAGACCACTATGCCAGAGTTCCTTGATCTTTCATTGTTCTTGAGTACATAGTTCCAGTGCTCACTTTGGATCTCATCTCTACAACATTTACAGTGTCAGTGAAATAAACAAACTTTTCTCAATAGTGGCTTCCTTTCTTCCTCAACTTATAGAAAATGAGAATTGAGCTAAGACCTGTCTGAAAGCAATGGTTACAGGTAGGTATCTCCAGGTACTCAGTTGCCTTGCACTGGAGTGACTTAATTTCAGCCACTTATATTTTAAACTGATTGTATAAATCACTCAGAATTTGGTGCTTTGAGGTGCTACTTTCTACACATAGTGACTATAGTCAAACTCTTGAACTCCTCTAACAATAGTTGTAACCAGGATGCTGGTTGGATATATATTCTTAGAACAAACTATGTTTATTCTAGCTGGCATTCTTCGTTAGTCTCCATACATGGGATGAAAACAGCATTCTCCAGCATAGATTAAGTGTCTTTCATTATTATTCTACCTCATTCTACCTAGAGACTACCTGTATTCTTGGTTGCTTTTAGCTGTGTTATTTTATCACAGCAACAAAAAGTAATTAATGCTTTATATATTTGAAAGACTGGTTTAGTCATATCTCAACAAGTAAATCCTCAAGCTATTGCATTGCATGGTGTTCTCGCATGACTTCCTGGGTCAACTCCTTGAGGAATGTGAGTTAATTGATAACTAGGTGAATCTTTAAATATTTCAAAAGCTTCTTCCTACAGTCCATTTTTCTTTTCTCAATGACTTCAGTTTTCCCTGGAAAAAGTTACATGTAGGTAAAACTGAACTCTTAGCCAAAAACAAGTAACTACTGAAACTTTCAGGATTCAAATATTCTGCTTCTTGGTACAAAAATGTATACTCAATTCCAGCAAAAGTATTACATTTATGGGGATGTAGATGGAGGATGGTTCTCACATGAACATTTTGTATGGGATTTTTCATACATTTAAGTGGTGAGATTCTGTAGTATATCCACAACAAATACAACTCTTTAAATGTAAGGACATTAACTTTACTACTGAAGATTAAAATTTGAAAGATTTTTGTTAGACTTTTCATTTGCTATGACAAAAAGCCTCACATAAACAACTAAGCAGCAAAATATATTTGGCTCACAGTTTCAGAATCTTTGCACACCAGAGTGAGGCTGGTGTTGCAGAGAAGAGCAGTTCACAGCATGGTGGTCATGGTGGAGGTCATGAAGCTCATGGAAGTAGAGGGAGAGGATAGCTGTGCTAAGCACATTTTAATTTCTCCTGCTTATTCCATCTGAGTCTTCATCTTAAGGCATGCCACTATCACATTTTGGAAATAGAACAGCCTTAGACATATGCTTTATTAATCTCCTAGGTGTTTCTCAATCAGGTCAAGTTGATGATCAAGATTAACCATCATAGCCTCTGACCTACAAATGGAATCATAAGAAAGCTGAAGTTTTACGTGAGATTCCTCAGCACTGGCCTTGGGCATAAGGCACAGATTGATTTTGGTCACTGTGATAGGAAGAATGTGATCTATATAGGGATATGGAGAACCCAGAATCAGCTCACAAATGGAACAAGTAATTACTGTAGGACTTAGCTTGCAACTTTGATGTGGAAGCTGAGTCCTGAATGGTTCTCTCTGGGTTCCATCGTCATCAGTTGGGGATTATGGCTCTTGTACTCACCAAAGACTTCTTTGACTTTGTCTCTGTGATGACTGACAGAATTCCAGAGATGATAAACTGCTCAGACAAGAGAAAAACATTGTCAGGTCGATTTCTATGTATAAAGTGACTACAGTGTTACTCTCTGGGGTTTATGACAAACTTCCATGGGAAAAGCCCCAAGCAACAAATACCCAATGATACACTTAGGCTCCCAGAGGAGTCTCTTTGCCCATGTACTATTCAGAAAACACAAAAAGGTAGACAAGAGCAGAAATCTATCCCATTAAAATAAGACTTTAAAAGGTAGTAAAAACATATCATGTTAATTGGAAAGGAAAAATTTGGAATGAGATGATTTTAGATCCTGAAGCATTGGTCTACAGCGAGAGAGAATGGAAAATTGTTTTTTTTTTAAAATCATCCTGAGTGCCTTCAACAAAGTCAGATCCTAAGAATTAAAGTGTTCCTTCCTGCCAGGTGGTCAGTCCACTGGGTGGCACTACACTATATAGAAAGCTCTAGATCATATGGATCTCACTTCCTGGATGTTTTACTCAACCTATAGAGGCTACTAAATTTATCATAGCTCAATAGGTGGGATGAAAAGATGATATTCACAAGAAATGCTTATTTGAACTACATGAAAATCATCTTCAGAATGGTGTAACCTCTTCCCTAATACACTAGGACTTTCTGTGGATGACACACAGAAGAACCAGATCTACCATCCACCTCTTCCTCACAGCAGACAGACAGTGAGCTAGGTGATATCTCCCTCCTCTGCTCTCCCATCTTGCTCCCCACAAAACTCTACTTACAAACAAGGATCCTACAAATGGGTAGCCAGATTTTAACAGGACAGAAAACACTGGGGTAAATCGTGGGGTGGTTGGAGCAGATGCCAAAATGATGCCCAGACACAACACCATCACACCACACATGATCTGGATCGCCTGTCAAAGAAGAGAGATGGGAGATTAAAACCAGCAATGACAAGAGGAACCTCTCCACTCCTCCCATGGTGCTCAAGTATTGTCACCTTCTACAATGTCACTGTTAGCTCACAGACACTGTAATATCTCTGGGTGAGAGTGGGAGTTTATTCTGAAGGGGAGGTGGTTCTGCCACAGCCTCAGGCTTCCTTCTGGTGTTTTTGTCCATGAACCTCTAACATGCTCAAGACCCTTCCTAGCATTTCTGGCCTGGGGCTGAGCTGTGAGTTCATGGTTAGCAAATCTGCTCCCTCTTGTGGTAGGAAGAGTAATCTGAAAGCCCTTCAACTCTGGGCACCTCTTGCCACATCTCCCAGAGCCCACAGAACAGCACAAAGAGCTAGCCTATCTGCCCAATTGCACAGCATCTTCACTCTAGGTGCCATTCCGGGAATCCCTAGCCTCCCTCATCAAGTACTCTCTAAAATTAAAACAAAAAATGAGTTAAACAACAAAATCTCAATGATTCATATTAGCAATAAGGGGAAATACTTGTTAGTTTGTGGAAAGTCTTCGAGATATATGCAGCTTGCCAAGGGCTTTCTACTGGTCTACAGACCACTCTGTGATCACTTTGTCAGAACTGAAGACTTTCTATACCCCAAATCTATTTCTAGCCCTAAGACAGTGTCTCCTCCCTCTGCCCTCCACCCACCCCAGAGCAATTCTGAGTTGGATTTACCGCCATCACTTTGATCTCTGCCTTTAGATATTTCTTCAGGCTGTCTTGCTTTTGGTGAGCAGGCTGGGGTTTGTCTTTTTGGGGAAAGTTGACTCCATTTGTTGAAATCACTGTGACAGTCTCACTGGTCACTACTTGTGGGATCATAATGGAGCTTCCACAGCTGGAAGAGAAAATGAACTCAGCTCTTAAAAAGGACTGTTCTTACTGTAGCAGTTTTTTTGTTTGTTTGTTTTGTTTTGCTTTGTTTGTTTGTTTGATTGGTTTAGTTTTGTTTTGGGTTGGGGTTTTTTTTGCCTATTTATTTTCTAAAGAAAGAGAGAGAAAAAAGGTATGAAATTGGATGGGAAGGGAGGATCAGATTATATTGTATGAATATTCAATAAAACATTAAATGCTTTACTCTGGATATAAAAAAGTCCAATCAACAATGTAAACGGGATAAGCTCTGCTCCCAGGCTCTGTGGCCGCCTCCCAGACTTCGTCTTCCTGTGTGCCTGCCTGTTCTCTGGCAGATGAGACTGGTAGGACAGAGAAATGAAAAACCAACACACCTTGGGTTCCTCAGGTCTTTCCCAGTAATGTTGGACTGATTTTAGATAACACATTGTAGGTAGAGATAGCATGAACCCCCAGAGGTCCCTGTGTGCATACCTAAAAGTTCACACAAAATTTGCAAAATACAGCTTAGCTCTTTCCTCAATTCTGCTTATCTTAAGTGCATTTTCTTTATTCTATGACATTTACCCTCAGGTTACTCTGCTGGTCATGAGATAATAAAAAGCAGCCTTCGATGTTTTACAATTCATGTTACATACCACTCAAAATACTTAATCCCATTTGTCTATTTAGTGAATCTAATAGTACCATTTTTAGAGTTAGCACTTCACATTTTATCATATTTTAGTAGAAGTTATCTTGCAATGTTTTTAAATCTTGAAAAAATCCTTTCTGTTAATTAATATAATCATAATCAATAACAAAATCCAGAGTCAAAAGTTTGATGTACATGTGGAAGTAATTCACACTTTGTTCAGGGACATAAAAATCAATGTTAGATACATATTTAGAGTTCTTATTATACTATCTATTACTATTTATTATAAACAAATTATTTAATATTATATTAAAAATAATAATACACGTTATTAATCAGTTGCCTACACACAGTTGGTTGTTGGACCCCCAGCTGTCTCTGACTCTGCTTCTTCTCCCCATTTCCCCACCTGCTGATGGCAGCCTGCGTCTGAGTCAGCAGGGACAGAGGTCATCTAGATGTGCCCAGGGTCTCCACCGCTTTCACAAGTATCAGAAATTCCCCATAATGAAGTCCAGTATAGAGTGCTGCACAGGGGAAGACCTCTTCAGGGTTGCCTACCTGCGCCTGTGTGCCTCCCTGTCTCCCCAAGCTGGGCTCTCAGGAATCCCAAGATCTGATCCTTGGTTCTTACTTGTGAGGTTCCGACTGGCCCAGCCCTTCCTCTTGCAGTGTTCACCACCACACAGGATGTGATGCTTGCAGACTGTGGACACTGAAGGTAGTTGCACTTCCTACTTCACAAACTCCCAGTAGTTTCAGAACACTCACTAAGAACCAGTGCTGGGAGAGAATGGGGTGCTGAGCTCCAACAGCCACCAGCTCCATGTAATGACCAAGTCCACATTCTTGAACCTTAGTTGTCTAAGTGTTAGAGAACAGCAACAAGCTGGGGAGATCCATGAAGCTGAGATAAAGTCTTTGAAAGGCCTGCCTTGCATCTTAGCAGTATTTAACAAACTGCCTTGATTACTAATGATATTTCCAGCCATAGTAATATTGATGACTAAAATGTCTCACAATACACAATAAAGTATAATGATAATAGTAATAAATATACTTAGACTCTGAGGGAATATTGAATAATATATAATCATTGTAATAATTGAACATATTACAATACTTATGGTACTTGTTTTTTATGCTTTGCTTTTTTACTAATTTCCCAGACTCTGAGAAGGCTGCAAGCAGTCATTCAGCACTCAAAGATTAATTGCTGCCCACTTTAGAGCCCTTTTAATTTTCTTCTTCCAACCCACTTGCAGACTGTGGGACTTCTCTAACAACGGAGGTGCCCAGGCAATAACTAGACACTAGTAAGACAGTAACAGATCAGGAGAGGAAAGGGGGGAAAGTTTCAACACACAAGAATGACTTCAACAATTCTGTACTCAGGATACTGTCGTGAAGACTGACGTCCTTGTGACTTTCAGGCATAGTTCAGAAGCTGACTGATAGTAATTAATTGTACGGAGAAACCAGAGCCACATTCAGCAACTTTATAGCCACACTCTGGAAACTTCCTTCTTCTTTTCCTTGAAGTCAGCCAGAAATAACCCAGGGATCCAGTATGAGTTGTCACTGCCACATCAGAGGGATGTGGATCCTGCAGTTCCCGCATGAACTTTTCTGATGAAGACACAAGACAAGACATGTCATTTCATCTTTTGGAGCCACCTTTGTTCTGAAGGCCAGACCTGCACAGAGATGAAGACCTGCTTCAATTTTACAGAAGATTGAGAGACTGGATTCTCTAAGAAATCCTTGGAAAGGGGCTTTCTGGTGTTGGGTCTCCTTTCCCTATTGTCACTGTCCTTTCCCATCATGCCCTGTGTACTCATCGCTGTCCCAGAACCCAGTGAATTAGTGAGGTACAGTGACCCTTCTGAGCTTTGACAAAGTAGAAGTGTGGCTTCTTGAGGGCAACCACACCTACCTTTGTCTCCAGGAGAATTTGCTAATAAACACTTAAATCTGTCTACCCAAGAGTCCCCTTCCTCTTCTTCTTCGTTTTTTTTGTTTTTGTTTTTTGTTTTTTTTTTTGGTTTTTATGAGACAGGGTTTCTCTGTATCGTTTTGGAGGCTTTCGGTCCAGCCTGGCCTCGAACTCACAGAGATCCGCCTGCCTCTGCCTCCCGAGTGCTGGGATTAAAGGCATGTGCCACCACCACCCAGCCCTTTCCTCTTCTTGCTCTCACAATTTGAAATGTATTTAGAGACATTTAATAGAGTACATGAGATAAATATCTGCCACAAATTTGGTAGGTCTGGGCGTGTATGCCTAGAATCCCAGCACAAGGCCAGCCTCTGTTATGTAGTGAGTTAGAAACCAGCCTGGGCTACACAGAATACTACATCAAAGGACCAAAGATAGTTAACACCTTAAAAGATAGTTAAACAGATACCAGTTGACTGATATATTTAGTGTTTGAGTCTTTGATAAAACTGAATATTAATAACATTGTGGGGGAGGGAAAAGATCATATAGAAATCTGAATGGTGGAAGAGTAACAGAGGCAAACTAAATATATCAGCTTAGTCTTAGACTTTAATTCTGAGATAGTTATGAAAGTGATCATTATTAAATGAAGAAGATCAAATTGCTAGGAGAACTATTTTGAGATAGAATTAAGACAGGCTAAACTCCTATACTTAGAAGGGGAAAGTAAGGATCAAACCAGAAAGCATAACGATTGATCAGAAAAACATGTTACAAAAGATCAGGACGGTGGTGGTGCTCGCCTTTAATCCCAGCACTTGGGAGGCAGAGGAAGGCAGATCTCTGTGAGTTTGAGACCACCCTGTCTACAAGAGCTAGTTCCAGGACAGCCTCCAAGCCACAGGGAAACCCTGTCTCGAAAAACAAACGAACAAACAAACACAAAGATCAGACAGCAGGTAGCATATGGTGGAGAAAGTTAAGCAAAGAGAAAATAATTAATCACCAGAGACTGTGCAAGTTGGCATGGGAAAAATAGGAGAAAACAGCAATTCTAAATGAATACAAACAATGAAGAGGCATTTCCTAGCCGTGGGGGAGGGAGTGTGGTAGTGGATCAGACCAGCAGAACATTTGCAAAGGTGCTTAGAGAGAATAGAGAGTCCTAGATAACTAAGCAGGGTGTGCTATTGTTAATTAGCCTTTTGTCTCCAGCTACAGGTGCTGGACTCAGACTCTGGAAATACCTAAGGATGTAAGGGCAGGATGGATCTAAGCTGAGACTAGGGAGAGCAGCTTTTTGCTCAGAGTGTAGAAGTCCCCTCTCCAAATAAAACACAAAAGCCCTAGGTTGGGGAGAAGAGGAGATTGTTGGTGGAAAGGGATGAATGGGGAAGACATGGGTAGTATGGCAAAAAAATACCACTCAGGTCACTATGAAGGACTTTGTGCTGGGATTCTAGGCATACATGCCCAGACCTACCAAATTTGTGGCAGATATTTATCTACATGTGTTATACATGACCACTTCTTGCCATTTCCATTGACTACTTTTCAACTCATCTTCATCAATTTATTCATCATCAATTTATTATTCATTTATTACACATGTCTTGCTGAACTACATATACACTCATAGTTTTTCTGATTTTACTTATCCATTTCACTAGACTGAATGACTGAATTGGTAAACATCACTGAACAATAACTGTGTTAGTAAATGTATTGATGAATCAAACAATATGTATCTTTTTATAAAACTTTATGTCTTTGAAAAACCATTATCACTGAGAATGTAAAATATTTCCAGAACTAATACAGAAAATTATATGTTGTGTAAAAAAATATGTATATATAGAGAGGGTGGTTTTATTGGATGTATAGACGTTCAACTATAGCTGTTGAAGTTTCTAAAAAGAACAATGAGCCAAATATTGCCAGATTAAGTTTAGTTAAATTCCCAGCCTACTTCCTCATTTTCGTTTTGTTCATGGTTGCAGACATACAATAAGAGCAAAATTATTCCTCGATTACTTTCCAGAAGGAATGTATGTGAGACTGTGGCACAAAGCAAGAAAATGGAAGTAAACTCTGGAACTACTCAGAAACATTTTTGAGATGCTTCTTCTCTGGACTTGTGTGTGTAACTTCCCAGTTAAACCAGTTCACTGTTTATCCGTTAGAGCTCAGCATCCCTTTTTGCCCTGGTCACTGTAGAACTGCAATTTCCCCAATGAGGAGACAGTAGGGTTCCAACGCGATATGGAAGCTGTGCTATCTATTTCCTGTCACTTTTCTGTGTCAGATGAGAGAGAAAACAGTCTTGCAGACAACCTCACTATGTTCCAAGCATTTCCTACAGAATTGTGTTTTCTCGATCATGGTGGATGATTTTTCTGATGTGTTCTTGAATCTGGTTTACGATATTTTATTGAGTATTTTTGCATCAATGTTCATGAGGGAAATTGGTCTATAGTTCTCTTTCTTAGTTGTGTCGTTGTGTGGCTTGGGTATCAAGGTAATTGTAGCCTCATAAAAAGAGTTTGGCAGTGAGCCTCCTGCTTCTATTGTGTGGAATACTTTGAGGAGTATTGGAATTAGCTCTTCTTTGAATTTCTGGTAGAATTCTGCACTGAAGCCATCTGGGCCTGGGCTTCTTTTGGTTGGGAGACTTTTGATGACTGCTTCTATTTCATTAGGGGTTATAGGTCTGTTTAGATTGTTTATGTGCTCTTGATTTAGTTTTGGCAAGTGATATCTAAACAGGAAATTGTCCATTTCCTTTAAATTTTCAAATTTTGTGGAGTACAGATTTTCAAAGCATGCCCTGATGATTCTCTGGATTTCCTCAGAGTCCGTTGTTATGCCCCCTTTTTCATTTCTGACTTTGTTAATTAGCATGCTCTCTCTCTGTTTTTTGGTTAGCTTGGACAGAGGTTTGTCTATTTTGTTGATTTTCTCAAAGAACCAACACTTCGTTTCATTGATTCTTCTCAATGTTATCCTGGTTTCTACTTGATTGATTTCAGCCCTCAATTTGATTAGTTCCTGGCATCTGCTCCTCCTGGGTGAGTTTGCTTCTTTTTATTCTAGAACATTCAGCTGTGCTATTAATTCTCTAGTATGACTGTTCTCCAGTTTCTTCATGTGGCCACTTAGTGCTATAAACTTTCCTCTCAGCACTGCTTTCAGAGTGTCCTGTAAGTTTCTGTATGTTGTGTCTTCATTCTCATTGAATTCCAGGAAGCCTTTAATTCCTTTTTTTATTTCTTCCTTTACCCAGGGATCGTGCAATTGTGCATTGTTCAATTTCCATGAGTTTGTAGGGTTTCTGCGATTTGTGTTATTGTTGAATTCTAATTTTAATGCATGGTAGTCTGATAAGATACAGGGGGTTATTCCAATTTTTTTGTATCTGTGGAGATTTGCTATGTTTCCTATCCCAGGAATTCAGGGATGGGTCAACATTAGAAAATCTATCAATGTAATCCACCATATAAACAAACTGCGAAAGAAAAACCACATGATCATCTCACTAGATGCTGAAAAAGCCTTTGACAAAATCCAGCATCCCTTCATGATAAAGGTCCTAGAGAGATCAGAGATAACAGGAACATACCTGAATATAATAAAAGCAACATACAGTGAAACCAACAGCTAACATCAAACTAAATGGAGAGAAACTCAAAGCAATTCCTCTAAAATCAGGAACAAGACAAGGCTGTCCACTCTCCCCATATTTATTCAATATTGTACTTGAAGTTCTA